TCTCTCTCTCTCTCTCTCTCTCTCTCTCTCTCTCTCTATTTATCTATCTATCTATTCTTTTTCTTTATCTTTCTCTATCGCTTTATTTCTCAATTTTTATTCTCTCCTAATTTCTCTCTCTCTCTCTCTTTCTCTCTCTCTCCATCCTCGATTCTTGTTTCGAAAGAAGGGGGCGGCGGGCCGAGTCGAATGGAATCTCGTTTCATGGAAACATGGGAAATTGGTGAGAAGGAATCCTAGGACTTTTGTATTGCAAGAAAAGAATTCGTAAGGTTAAGAGTAAAAGGCGATTGTTGACGAGAGTTAACGTTTGATTGCAGTGCCATTGGTCAATATCAGCGTGGTGGAAGGAAAGTCGGCGGAGTTGCCATGCGACATCACTCCACCGGGAGAGGACACCCTTCACATGGTGTTTTGGTTCAGGGACGAGGCCGGAGTACCATTGTACACGTGAGTGGCATAATCTTGTTCGATGATTGATCCTAGATCCTCTCCTAGACCTCCTAGATCGAACTTCTTTGAAAAAAGAAAAGGAAGAAGAAGAAGAGGAAGAGGAAAAAAAATGCTCGGAGGAATTTCGTTGGGACTCGGTATGAGGTATAAACGCAGGTTCGCCTTTACTCTTTCCCGTATTACATCCCGTATCACGAGAGCCGCGTTATTAAACGTACGTCGCTGTTCGTCGGCCACTCGACCAACTCCGAATTCCTTTCTGCATTCCGTTTCGCGGACTGCTCTCTCTCTCTCTCTCTCTCTTTCTCTCTCCGAGTTGGCCGCAATAACGCCACCGCGGGGCCTCTTTGCGCCTTTCTCTCTCTCTCTCTCTCTCTCTCTCTCTCTCTCTCTCCCTCTCTCTCTCTCTCTCTCTCTCTCCCAACGAAATTTTACGAGAGAGTTTAAGTTGATGACGCGGAGAGAGGGAGAGGGGGGGGGGGTGTTCGTCGGTGTCCCCGGGATGGTTGAAAGCCGGTCAGACCAGGCCTCTTAATTGAAACGGTTATTAATTAAAAGCCTTCTTCCTAAAGGCCTCGATGGAATATAAAATAAATTTTTTTTTAATTGACAATTATTTCGCTCGATCGTGTATCTATAATTTCTCCTTAATGAGGCTGAAAATTGAAGGAGAGAAGATGGGGGGGGGGGAGGAGGGAGGGATATGAATTTATAAAATGCATCCGTTCGGAATAATTTTTCTCGCCGAGGAATAAAGATGAAGAGGAGGGGATGAGGAGGAGGGGAGAATAACTCGCTCGACACAATAGGTCGAAACGAGTGGTGGATAGATATTTCTTCGCTTCGGAAATGGAATCCCTCTTAATTGACAATTATCTCGGCCGATTACTCGTAATTTTCCCGCGACGAACCGATTTAAATACGCCTTGTTACCTTTAACCGCGATAATTTTTCGAATCGAATAGATCTAGCCGCCTTTTGGAGAAGGACTCCCTCGATCTTCTTCTTCTTCTTCTTCTTCTTCTTCTTCTTTTTTCGATTAACAATGAAATCTCGCCCCGTACGATACGAAATTTTTCGATACAACGCAGCGACGTTAACGAATAAAAATCGGGTCGAAAATCGAATTATCTTGGTGGTATCGCGTTATCGTGATCGAATGCACGAGTCGATAAGGAAGATTTCTTTTGAAAAAGGAAAAAAAAAAAAAAGAAAACGCTTAATGGACGATATTTTGAATTTTTAGCGCGGGGAAAAAAAATTTTTTTTTTTTTCTTCTCCGCTTCTCGATATTCTATCGCTCGAATAAATTTTCGCGCTTTTATGAATTTTCAACAGCGAGGATTTTTTAATGCTCGAAACGCCTCCTCTTTTTTTTTCTTTTTCGACAGTCTAAGGTCGAAAGGTCAGATTACACGGGATGTATCACATATATATATATATATATATATATATAGGTTGGCGAAGAAGGCGTTATCCGGCTAATGAGGATCGCGGATCAACTTACGTGGCACGTAATTATAGCGTGTCGATAAATTTGAATCGGTGTCTGAGGGGATGCAGGTGGAGCAACGGCAGCTCCTGGATGGCAGCTTTATCGGCGAATAATTGATAACCGCCGCGACATCCCAAGCCGAGTCGACGTAACGTGCCGCGGAAGATCCGCGCCAACTTGTGCGTGGCTGCTTGATTAATCGTCCCCTTTCGATCGAGATCCACCTTCGCCCAATCTATGATCTCGTCTATAAATTAAGCGCCAAGATTCTCGCGATACCGTTAGACGGTATTTTCTATTCTCTTATTAACCAGAAAAGATCTCGACCTCTTCTCAAAAATGATCGCGACGAGAGAAAAACACACGCACACATATGTATATATATAGTTAGGAATTTTAACTTTATTTTTTTAAAAAGAAATTAAATTGATTCAACTTTTTTTCATAGATTTCATAGATTTCTGAACATTGTCCAAAGAAAATTCCTGGTCTAATTAAATTTGATTAATTCGTCCTGGAAGTGCATCAACTTTAATTCCTAAAGATGGAACAGTTCACGAATGAATTACATCTTGTTGATGAAGTAATTAATCGTAAAGGAATTCTTATCGGAATAATTATTCGATCGTCGGTCTCTAATAATCGGAATTGATTTAAATTTCTTTAAAAAATAATTTAATATATATGAATCAAATTCATTGATCACCAATTGATTTGATAGAAAAAAATGGATTTGCAATTTCATCGATTAAATATAAAATTTTCAACGACGGAAAACGAATAATTAAAAGAAGAAAAGTTGTTCAAATAATTTCGATATTGTGATCTTTTAAATAGAAATAAATCTAAAAATTTATTTAAAAATAAATCTATGATAATACAAATTGTTAATGTTAAGAAATTACAATGATAATAGTTATTACCGATGAAATAAATCCTTTCGACGAGAATTTCAGTGTTTTTCGTTGGATAAAACAGATTTCAACGATGTTTCGACTCGGCGAAGGGAGGGGGAAATCGGATTGGGGAGGCACGCGAGCACACTTAGCCCGTTGTTTACGAAGCTATCTCGTTAAGGAAGTATTTGGAAGCTCGTGGACATATCAATGTTGCGTGCGCTCGCCAGAGCACTAATTATAACATACCGCGCGAGGAAGGGTCGGTATGCGAACTATGCGCATACCTAAACGCGCACACGCGCGCCCCTTGCCTCGGCAAACCTCCGACCGACCCGTAAAGGATACGCAACGCCTATCGAGAGAGCCCCCTCACGTTGTCAAACGTTTATGCGTACGGCTAACGAACCTTTGTCCGAATAAATCTGAAGCGCCCTTCGAAGTAACGAAGCTATCGAGCCTAAGCTTCACTCGTTATATACTCGTGTATATATATATACGTACGTATATCGTGGATTTCTATCAGAGATCTGAACGGAAGGATCTTGTGCCTCGAACCAATTAAATACGTCCAATTGCATAAGCGGAAGCGATGAATAGATTCGCACAACTTCCAATGGCAACTCGTGTTACAAGATGTACATGTATATATATATATATAATTGGAGCCTTCGATCTTTGAACTCCGTGATGGTCCGTTCCATTGGTCGCGCGCGATACAGAGAGAGCGGCGCAGAGTGTCGAAACGCGCTTAAATGGATCGTGAAATCGTAAAACGGATCGATCCCAATGGGGATATTCTCGTCCCCTATTTTCCAATCGATCTCGACCTCGCAGCGAACCGTTTGCACGGATATAATTTACAGGGGATGTGTAGCATATATATATATACATATGCATACATCTGACCTTACTATTCTCGAACCAGCAGAAACCAAGGATGTGTTCGAACAATGCTCGCGACTCGAGTCGAGACGAGAAGAGAAGAGAAGAGAAGATGTTTCTCGCGAACTGGATATCGATCGCGTCTGCCGAGACGCTGCTCGTGATGACAAGCGGTACAACAGATTTCCCGCGTGTCTCGGAAGAATTGGAGGGGAGGGAGGCAAGTTGGGGAGAAGAGGAAAGTTTCTCTCTCGCAAGGCGAGGAGGTGGCTCTTCGCGGAAAGTTTTCAGCACGCGATCGCCGTAACTCGATCGTTGAAGGTGGCAAACAAGGGCGGGTGAAATTTCTATCCGGATGGATTCTGGCCGGTGGTCGGATTGGGATTGGATCGAGGTCGAACGATTCGAGAAAGGTCTTCTACCTTCCTGGATTACGTCCGACCTCCGATCTCCGACCCCCCCGGCCGCCCAGAATTCCCGGGTCGGAAGGTTCGCCCTCGAAATCGGACGCGATTGTACGTATACCGATATTCCCGAATAATCTTCCTTTTCTTCCAAGGGAAACGAGTCGCGAGAGACGCTTGAAAATTTTACAACGGAGGAGGTCAGAGATCGAGTCGAAAATTTTATTCGCCCTCGGTGTTCGGGCGCAGCTGTCGATTCGTAGCAACAGATTTCCCCGTCCGTGCGGGAGAGGACGAGAAAAAATGAAAATGCGAAGGATTCTTTTTTTATTTTAGGTCGGGCAATTCACGTGAAAATTCGAACCGCGTTGAATGAAAATTAGAACGAGGGGGTCGACGATGAGAAGTCATAGATTTGACCCCCCCCCCCGTGTAATTTATATTTGGCTAGCCAGAATCGAAGCTAGCGCGTTTACGGAGATTTAGCATTATTATACCTGTGTATACCTAGGTGTAATCAGATTTATAGTTAACACGCATAAATCTGATTAATTGCGATTACCGGTAATTATCGGTGTTCCATGGCTCGTGCGGATATAAATCAGTTTTCGTTACACGGAGCACGGCCCGTTGTGGAAAAATTAATGCCGCGCAAACGCCGGATACGCGGTGCCGGTCGCCGGTCGTTTATTGTCTACTCGCCTAGATTTGTCCCCCAAATAAAATGGAAATCGAGCCTTTCTATTTTTTTTCCATTTCTGTTTTATACTCTCGTTCTTCCATCGATGAGAATTCGATTTTTCCAGCCGATCGGGCTATATATATATATATATATATATAAGTGGACGTGAGTTAGAATCCAATATTCGCGATCATCTGTTATTCTCCGGTCGCGTTGCATCCTTGCCGAACCAATCAAACCAAGAAAAGAAAAAAAAAAATTGAAAATCGCGTTCCGATCTTCGATCTTCGACCGTGTTTCAAAAACGGAACGTTTAATCAAATACCGTTTTCGGCCGCGTTATTTAAGTAAAATGTAAAAGGAAGAAGCTCGACCGCAAAACGAGGAGATCGCATTGCGCCGCACCAATCTTCCCAGCTCTCCCGTTACGGACCTCATAAATCAGATGCATCGTGTCGTCGTTCATCCGAGCTCTATTCCATTCCCTTTGCTCTTAGTGGCTTCTCTCCCACGGCTTTTTCGCCGTCTCCTTTCCCACTCACCAACGCCGCGTTTACATCACCGAGCAAATAAGCGGCAACATCGAAACTCTCTCTCTCGCTTCGCAACGACGATAGTCGAAGATATTGGAAGGT